TTTATGAAGAGTTGCTCTATGTATTTTCTTCGTCACTCGGGGGGGGGGGGGGGGGGGGGGGGGGGGGAGGGGGCGTGAATTTGCAGCATGTTAGTGCCAAGAGAAGAAAGGGGAATCCGCCCCGGCTGTGAGGTGGTCAAAATAACCCGGCAACAATGTTACCAATTGGGCAAATAATTGTTATTTAAAGATTTGGTCAATTCAATAAAAGTGTCAGTCATGCGTAATGCGCTTGTATGTATTTAGTGTATCTTGTACACTCCATGTTCCAACCTTTAATCATCTTAAAGTTACAATTATTCCTTAAAATATAGCATAAACAGTCATTTTACTCTTCTCTTCTCTGTATTGTTTTAGTGTTAATTTGTTGTTAACAGGTATAATGAATCTAATGCGTAATGTCATCCACGGTAATGTCTGTCACAGAGGTTTATTTGCATATTAAAAGAAATCATGAAAGTTTTGCTCATTTACTACATGTGTTGGTTACCCTATAAGCTAAAATGCTCGCATGGATTTAAATACGTAGAAATTTTAACTTGAAAAGAAATTTGAAAAACACGTTTGACATTTTTGGGTTGCATCGCTTTTTGTAATGTCAGTCACGACAGTAAACTACCACTCTAATTGGAAAAACTGAACATGAAATTTTCAATTTTCAATACCGTATTGTGTATTCAGGTCCCAGTAACTACCATGCCAAACAATAGTTCAGTTGGCTTTAATTGTTTACACATAAGAGCTGAATTGATATTCAAAATTAGTAAAAATGTAATGTCAGTGACGGTCTTAGGCTTAGTGTAATGTCAGTCACCAAAAAACGATGCTTTTTTCCATAAAAGCATTCAGGATAGCAATAAAAATCTGCCCTTCATTGTTTTTTTAGCACGGGGTCTAGGTATATCAACTTCTATTGTTGACAGACGAGGCTATTTTAATTGGGTGTTAATTTGTTTTATATTAACAGGCATATTCATTCAAAAATTCATGATTTTTCCCCCCATCTTACTACATGCGTTAGTAACCCTATTAGCTCTAATGTTCTAATGGATTTTGATCTGCAGCACTTTTAACCTGAAGAGAAATTTTAAAAACATGTTTGACACTTTTGGGTTGCATCGCTTTTTTTTTACTGTCAGCCACAGCACCAATCAGGGCTCTGGAGTGCTCTGAAACGTGCAAAACTAAATCAGGCCCACTTTACTCACAGTTTAGCCAGCAAATTTCTCCAAAAAATCCACTGGGGCAAAGAAAATGTCCTCAGTATTTCACCAACCAAGTTTGCAGACTCAATTCAATTTTTAAAGGAGACTTTTCTTTAATATTTTGCACATGAGAGGGAAGTCAAGTGATTTCAAAATCGGGCTAAATACTACACTGGTACATGTTCAACCATGGTCCAACTATTTGAAAAGACTGACCTCATTTCATTCAAAGTCAATAGTCTGGTGGCTTGACTATGGAGAAATGTGTAGTAAATTGAGACTAGTTCCCGCTAGTTCCTGTTTTGGGACTCTCATACACAGTATTGAGAGTCCCAAATTTTCGGACTATCACGGCACTAAACAACCCCCCCCCCCCGGCCAAAAAAGTTAACCATGAAATATCAAAGATTCAATACTGTATTGTGTATGTAGGTCCTAGTAACCCCTTTGCCAAACATGGTTCAGTTGGCTGTAATTGTTTAGACATTAGAGCTGATTTGATACATGTAATGTCAATCACGGTGGAATTGCCCAGATAATGAAGACATTAAATCCTGTAGCTTGTGTTGGTAATCTCGCCGTCGGTTGAATATTCTCTCCCAGAACTTGTCTGCACGGTTGACATGTACACGTGAACTCCAGTTCTCTTTCTCAGTGAGCGCTACATTTCAGCATATTCCTGTTTAGATTTTCGTTCTCCAAGTTTCCGTACAACCATGTCCAACTAATATATTAAAGTGCAAGCAGCAAACCTTTGTCCAGAAATAGAAGCAAAGAATTATAAGGTTTCAACTGTACAGTGTACGTTACATTAACATATTAAGATAGCATGCACATGCATGGCCTTGTGCAGGGCCAGGGCCCTGGCCACAGTTTCCCCACATACACTTTGTTACGCAACGTTACGTAATAAATCTCACTGATAGCTGAGCTAGGCAAGGTCACTGGGCCGACCACCAGTGATTGTATGCTCTCTCATTGGTTGTATCTGTCAGTGCACAAACCATCGGCGCTGTTGTCTTATTGGCTCATTCTGGTTTGTACACGAACCATCGGTACCGATGGTTCGTGTACATTCAATTAAATGTCACTTCTATCGAGAGTGTCCGAGTAATGAAGGCCCCAGTGAGCAGTTTTGTGCTCAGTTAAACACACCAAGGAGATCTGGGATTTCAAGAAACCACACAACCGTAAGTGTTTATTGCAAAACTATCCACTTGTAAATTGATCATTTTGTTGAAGAAAATAATAGTATTGTTGCTCCGATTTTATGAAAACCAGTAGTAATCTTGGAAAAAAACCCTGATGTTATTACCTTTGATTTATGTTGATTAAGCATACTTTAAAGCATGATTAATATTAGTTTGAAGATCAGACTGATGTTTGAAATAAGTGTTGGATTTTTATGATGAAGTTATACCTTTCGATAAGACAGCTGATATTTTGAATATAAGGTGTAGAACAAGATAATACGGTTTTCCGGTGCCCGTCTCCGGAGAACCCCTTTGGCACAGGGGGGCGTGAGTGGACATTCTAACAGCCTTCTTGTAGGCAAGAAATCGTATGGGATCTCTGATTGGTCCGTTTGCTGCAGCCAGCATACTTTCAACCAATCCCTGATGGGGAACTAAGCAGGCTGGCAATGTTTCGCGCATTTCTCTCCCTTTTCCGCTTTCTTTCGCCGAGCTTCACACACGACAAAATAAAACCCTTCCCTCCCTCCACCATTTAACCAGTTAGTACTCGGCTTATGTGGCAGGGCCACATAGTTAACTTGCATTAGCTTTTGGTTTTCAACATAGGAGTCCCTCCCCCTGACTTGCATACACTTAGTTTGTGTTGTAGCCCTCTTAAGTTAATTAAGTAGAAGTTTATGACACAGTAAAATAATAGCAGTGCTGTAGGAGGATAGTAGTAAACATCCTGTCCAGAACAGAGACCCCTTATCTGTGAGACCATGTGGTCCATGCCTCATTTTGCAGACTGGTAGAAGGCAGGGCAGCATCATTTAGTTTTGCTCTGCAGATTTCCTTGAAAATCTATGGCTTTTCTACCCTGAAAGTTTGGTCTGCTGCTGGATTCGGTAGGCTCAAGTTTTTGTTGTTTTGTTAACTAAGAAGTGAAAGTACATTTAATAGATAAATATTTAGTGATCCAATTGGTACTTTTGTTCTTGTGACCTGAGATTGAAATTTCCTCGTTCTTTTCTTGTTATACGGAGTGTGAAGTTCAAGTACACTTGGAGTTTAAGATTGATTCACAAGAGAGTTACTTTTGCGCGATGTATTTTTGTGCATTATACTACATGTATGTCGTATCCGATGGTTAGTCCCATGGTTTACAACTTTACTTTTTCGTTGTATGAGAACTTGAGAAGAAAACAAGTGATCTTTTAAGTTTTGCACAGGTGTATTTCATCTTTTACATAGCTGGATTTTTTATTTTAACCAATAGTGTTAGAATTTAGATAGTTGGAAGTAAATCCTTCACTTGCCATTTATTCTGTATAATGAGTCCCTACTTGTGCACATGTATGATGCATTTCTTTACTTTACTGAAGGGACATTGCCCAGCCACAGTGTCTTATTTTTATCAGGTTGACCACCAGTTAAGATAATAGGGCCTTAGACTTTGCCTAGTCCACTGAGCAGTTGGTTGATGAAATGCTTTGTATGTTTTGTGGTAATAATTAAGGCATAGTGGTTCCCCAGTGTACGTATGCAAGAAGTGCTAAGTGACTTGTAAACTCTCTAGCTGACAGCCTGGGTGGCTGGATTTGGCCACAGAGCCTAGTAGATGACCTTGGAGATAAGCACATGGACAAGGCAAGACTCATTAGTATGCACAAGAAAGTTAGTGTTGTTACCTGGAGCACACATAACTATGCTTGTGGCAACTCAGCACTGTTGATTGTTTATGCAGTGGTCAGAAGTTCTTAATCGCATTGATAAGGATGAGTGTGTGGTATTGCCAGAATAGAGCACCTGTTTTAGGTTGGCCTAGTTATTATTAGGATTTATAATGTACTCATTTCGTTCTATACTTACTTTGCGTTTTTTTTATTATTTCTACAGGTTGTTTAAGCTGTTGTTTTCGATTTATGACCTTCTTTTGATGCTGTATTGGTTTTAATTTTAGTTGGTTTTAAATCTTATGTTTTTTATTGTTGGTTTTAATTTTAAATTTTCGTTCTAGGTTTTAGTTGTTGGTGTCTTTATTTTTTATCTGGTTTATGGTTTTTGGTTGGTTTATGGCTTGAAGTGATTCAGTTTTTTTTTGTCTATTGGTTCGTGTCATTTTAGATTTGTTTAGTCTATTTTTGCTTCATTTACTTAGTTTCAGTTGTGATCATTATACTGAGTTTTTTTGATTCAAAGCAGTTTTTATCTTTAGGGAAAGTCAAAGGTCATTTACATTCGTTTGGTTAGGAGAACATCAAGGTTGGTCGAGTGTCAGGTACAAAATCGGTTGTTCTTCGAGTCTCATAATTTTATTTTTGGTTTAGTTTGTTTTTTTATTGTCGTTCAGGAGAAATAAATGCGTTCCAGTGATAGCTCTTGAATCTCTGTCTCTTTGCCAACTTAATTTTCCTCGCGATTTTCTAGAGATCCTAGGTCCAATTCCTTTGTTCCATTTTTCTGGGTTACATTTTTTTCTTTTAGGTGGAGAATCCGGGTACTAGTGCACTGTTTTTTTTATATAACTTAGCCAGGAATTTTTAAGGTAGGACATAGAGACAGGTCATAGTTAGGGAAAACCAATACAGTGTCGAGAGTTGGGAGTATATTGATTGCGATGACGCAGACGCCGAACCAGCACCGAACAGCTCACCTGATATCGGATACCCCTCCGCAACTGACGCCCCAGACAAAATACGCAGTTACTCCTGGGCTTGGTCAATCACCGAACATGGAAGGAGCACACCGTCAGTTCCCACATTTGGTTCCTCCATCAGAAGGAGTGTCCCCTCTACGTCTTGCTGGTATAGACCCACTCCACACCGCGGCAGAGCAGAGAGGACAGGGAGCTCCAAGGATGTTGACCACGCATCAGGTCAAGAGCGTGCCAACATTTAGCGGGAAGGAGCGACACGGCCCCCGACTGGAGGACTGGATCCGGGATATGCGGTTCCTCCTTGGATGCAAGGGAACAGCCCCAGGGATCCTCCAGTTTCATGAGGCTGTCAGACACACAGGAGGAAAAGCGAGAGATGTGCTGCTGAACCTTGAGAGTAGGACACCAGAGGGTCTAGACGCGGAGAAAGCCTTCGTCGAGCTGCTGGAAGAATACGGGGAAGACAAAAGTGCCCTGTCTCCCGTGGCCAAATTTTACGCCAGGGTGCAGCGGGGAAACGAAACCCCAATGGAGTTCGCCATTGGATTGGAATCGACCTTGAGGGAGGTTGAAGAGACGAGGCGGCGCCGGAGACAGAAGTCCGAGGAAGAGAGCCGAGACAAGATGTTGGCAACCCAGTTCATGGTGGGTTTGTTTGCCAACTTAATTTTCATCGCGATTTTCTAGAGATCCTAGGTCCAATTCCTTTGTTCCATTTTTCTGGGTTACACTTACACAATTTTGTTAGCCCTATGTTTGGGAGTAGCCACTGAACGTTGGAGGTAACCCCTTTGAGGCTAGAGTTAGAGCTGGAGCACATCTTACATGAATGTCATTGACAAGTAAGAAGGGGATGGGGCAGATGTAGACAGGTCCAGACTGGGCGTCAGTTGTCGCATTTCTTCTGGGCTGGGTCTGTTGGGCATCATTTATACCTCAGGTGACGTGAGGTGGGATTTGGTAATCCCGACATGTACACACCTCCCTCGTGGAGGCTGGATTTTGTTCAGCCATGTTTTCTTGTGGACTGTCTGAAGTCCTCCTGGTCGACAGTTTTTCTGCAGGCTTTAATGCCAGGCATATTTTTTATGCAGATATTGCTTTGCAATCTGTTTCTCGCCAGGGGGCATTTGTACTCCCAACATCTCTAGCATGCCGCTAAGTAGACCCCTCCCCAGTTCTCACAGTACACGTATACTGCTGCTCTGGGACCCCCACATTACTCGCGGGCTTGGCCTGCTCTCGGGGACCCATATCTCAGCTCTGACCACATGAAAGGCAAACTCACTAGTGCGCCGGGATGGCCTCTCTGGGCCTGTGGCCGCCAATCCCTGCATTCTAAATACAACTTGCCTCTCCCCAACTTGGGGATTCTTCCCCTTGGCCTCCTTCTGTATTTTGGAAGGACGGGGGAGGGGGCAGAAATGAGGGGGGCGGGGACACGCCCAAGGTGGAACTAGGGGGGTTAGGAAATCAGAACGACTAATTTTGTATAAAACCAATCACCAGAATCTTAATTCTAGCTAATCACCTAATATTCTGATTACTCTATATCTTGATTATAACCCTTGATCCTAAAGTTTTCATTGCCACCGTTCACTTTTGCTATATATTTTATATAACTGTAAGTGTTGTTCATATATGTGGTTTATTGTAGCTTGATAACCATTGTATTAAGACTCAGTGTAATTTATTTGGTGTAACTTGCCGCGCTTAGTATACCTGTAACTTTATGCTTAATTGCATGGTTTGGTGGTTTACAACACTCATTGTCATCGTTATTTGATTACCAAATTATTGCATTGCGGGGCCTCAACATACAGTGTAATAGTAGACAATGCAAACACGGTAATATTGTATTGGTTAATACATGTAAGATACATGGGACTGTATCATCAAGAGCAATAAACGCTCGGCGAAGGTTAGCCGAAGCTGACCACATATATCCATGTCCGTGTGCTCTCTCTCGTCCTCTCTAGGGCCAACTGATGGATCATTGATTTGTAAATTACTGATGTCAAGTGAAAGATATTTATTGTAAGGATCACTTGAATATTTTGTAAATAGAAAGGGACGAGCTGTAGCCATTAGCTAAGGGCATCGAACTGGTGCGGCTGTAGGACACCCAACCCAGGAGGCGGTGTATCCACGATCAACCGGCATCAGACGATTCAAGACAGTACCGTGGGCTGATATCCTTAAAACGCCTGCTCCTCCCATTTAAAGACCCTTGTATAGAGTAAAATAATTTAAAGTAACTGCAGAGTGGAAGTTTGTTTAAAGATTAATTGCTATTCATTTAAAAGGAAACACGACGGAAATAATATGATCTAGAATGTGAATTAATGTAACAAGTGAAGAAATACCGGCCTACCACAGTTGTAAATAAGTGTAAATTGTTTGTAAATAGAACAGATATACTGAAGAAAAAGCTTATTGTGTTTAGTGTGTTTCTTTCGTTGTTGAGGAAATAAATAGTTGTAGACTATTGGACACGAATTTAGGGAATAATCCTAACATCAACCATTTGTGGATTCCCCAATTGCAAACTAAGTAAAAATTAGAACGCATTGGGGAGGAGGGGGGTGGATTCATAGAAAAAAGTGTCACTTGACACATGTTTGGAAATTGACATCATGCGAGGTTGTCACCCATTCATGGATCCACCAAATCGCAGTCCAAGTACAAATATGAATGCATGGGGGAGGGGTGGATTCACATAAATTCCCCAAAAGAAGTTCTGCATTTCTATGTGCAACGCCAGTGGGACTTACAATTTGTGGGATGATTTTGCACATGCCTGATAGTCTGATACATGTATACACATCTTGTTCATCAGGTCAATAGAACAATCAACAGCCACAGTAGCCACAGCTGTTTGACAATACCAGCCACTCACTTGCAGACAATACTTTATAGGGTCAATACAACAATCAACAGCCACACAGTAGCCACAGCTGTTTGACAATGCCTGCCAATTTCAGACAATATACTTTATCAGGTCAATAGAACAATCAACAGCCACACAGTAGCCATAGCTGTTTGGCAATGCCTGCCACTTGCATACAATACTTTATAATAATAATAATAATAATGAACATTTATAAGACGCCGATATCCACCAAGCAAGACGCTCATGGCGCACAATACATACAAAACAATTACTGTATAAATAAAGTTAAATTTGAATTACAGAAAGTAGTGACAGAAGTAATAAACATCAACTCATTAAACACACAAACGTGAAGTACATGTAAACATATGAGTTTTCACGGAAGATTTAAATACAGACAATGATGATGACTGGTGAATTTCAAGGGGTAGATTGTTCCAGAGTTCGGGAGCGGTGATTGAGAAAGACCGGTCTCCCCAAGAGTGATTGGTGCGGGGAACAGTAAGCTGTAGCGCTCCAGCCGAACGAAGACTACGTGACGGCTGATATTTCGTGATAATGTCCGTTATGTAGTCAGGTGATATTCCTTGTAGTGACTTGAAAGCGAGAAGGAGGATCTTGAAGACAATGTGATAAGCGACGGGGAGCCAGTGAAGGGACTTAAGACCGGGGTGATGTGAGTGGTGCGTCTGGATAAGGTGATGAGGCGAGCAGTGGCATTTTGGAGGCGTTGAAGTTTGTTATCCGGTGGTGTGGCAGGTTATACATGAGTGAATTACAAACATCTAAGCGCAAAGTTTTAAATGCATGGACGAGTTGCTCAGTGCCCGTACGATTTAGATACTTCCAAATGAAGCCAAGATTACGGAGATGAAATCTGACTGATTTTGACACTGCTGATATCTGATCAATGTGGGACATGTGGGGGTCAAAAGTGACACCTAGGTTGCAACACTTGGTGGAAGGATGGATGTGGGAATCTCCAGTCCTAATGCTGGTGATATTGAACTTGGCGAGTTGTTATTTTGAGCCACACAGGATAAATTCAGACTTGTTGTCATTCAATTTGAGACTGTTTGTTATCATCCATGTCTTGATCTCATCAATACAAGCCTCAAGATTCTCCAGGGCAGACACAGCATTGGGTTGAGATGGATTGAAGGATTGATACAGCTGTATGTCATCAGCATAGCAGTGATATAGGTTGTGTTTCTGGATGATCTGGCCGAGTGGTAAAATGTAGATGGTGAATAACATGGGACTGCCAACAGATCCTTGAGGAACACCACAGTCAAAGGAGGTAGGGCAGATAATACTCCATTGAAGTTAACAGACTGTTGCCGGTCTGCAAGGTATGAGTCAAACCACTGCAAGGCTGCATCATGCACTCCCAAAGAGTGCAAGCGACTGATCAGGATGGCGTGATCTATGGTGTCAAATGCTGATGACAGATCGAGAAGCACAAGCGCCATTACTTTGCCAACATCCATCTGTCGTAGGATGTGGTCGCGGACAGATGAACAAGTAATGTTTCTACACTATGGTTCTGACGATATGGTATAGGGTCCAAGTCACATGATTTGGCTGGGGATTTGAAGATGATAGTGCGAATCTCATCTTGAGAGGCGAAACGGAGACTGGTCAGTGTAGTTTGTGTTGGCGGGGTGGGGGTAGAAGTATCTGTATCTGGCACAAGGGGAGGTAGTACATCACGAATCGAAGAAATCTTGGACATGAAAAATAACGGCTGAAATGGTCAGCCAGTGACTTGTCGGAATCGTACTTAGGTAAAGAAGATTCCTTATTCCTATGGAGAAGCTTGTTGGCGACACGAAACAGTTGTTTTTGATCACCGGACCACTTGGAGACTATTTCTGAGTAATGGGTTCTTTTGGCCTTACGGATCAGCGAGATCACATGCTGGCATTGTTGGTGATGTAGTTGGCGGTCAATCTCGAGTGAGGATGCATGCCACCTGTGCTCAAGCTGTCTTCGTCTGTGCTTAGCTTGCAACACCTCATCAGTGTACCAACCAGTGTCGGGCCGAATAGTGACACATCGGGTTTTGACTGGTGCAAATGTATCCAAGAGTTGAGACAGTATGAAGTTGTAACTGTTGGCTGCCTCGTTGACATGGCAACACTGCATTGAGCCGACAGATGGTTGTCTTCAATCTCAGCGCACAAGAGATTCAAATCAATGCTGTGGAGGATGCGATGGATAACCATGTCTCACAGATACCAATGATATCAAGATGATTTTCAGAAACAAAATCAATAAGTTCTGTTGTCTTGTTCCGAATTGACTGGGCATTAAGCATGCAGAAGGTAGTGTCTAGCTTGAGTTTATGAGGGTTAAGATCTCACAGACAGGTCGCACTAAAAAGCGTCAACACAGCGTCAACACAGCGTCAACACATGACAGAAGCGTCAACACACTGTCAACACATCCAAAACACATTCTGAATTGACCAAAAAAGGTATAGAATGGCAAAGCAAAGAAAAAAAGAGAATTTCCATTGGATTGAGTTTCCATTTTGTTGTTAAAAATATAGTATTTTCACGCGAAAAAATGACCTTTAACTTGAGCGGCCGTTGTCCGCCATCTTGACTTCGCACAAAGCTTGGACTACACCATTTCGAGTAGGGGTGTGTAGGTTATGACATTATCTTGTCATAAACAACAGAGGGCGCCTTGATGCAGAAGGATGCACTCTGATCTGTGAGAGACTGAGGGACTGAGGTTTATTGAACGATGCTATCACCCTTTAGCATAATGGAATGGTTCGTGCTGC